TGCATGGAGGCGACGGTGGTGGGCTGGACGACGGGGAACGGCATCGCTGGCTCCTGGTAGTGCTGGGGCAGCTGGGAGACCACTGTGGGCGCAGGCTGAACAGCGGGGAGGCCAGGCTGCAGGAGAGAGCACGGCTTTAGGGAAGAGTCATCCATTAAGAGTGTCTTCACCAAGAATATAATTGCAAGGGAACTGTCTACCAGGTACTCTGTTCAAAACAGAGGGGGCAAAAAATGAAAAATTATCTGCAAGGAAAAGAAATTTACTTAATCTAAACACGTGGGAAAAGTTGGCAAATTCCAAATAAGACAACCAAACAGCATTGCATTTCTTTCTGGAAGCAAGCACACAGACCAGTCAAACCACTGAAAGCACAGACATGGTGAGAATATACCAACAGCAACAACAAGCTGTTAGCTGGGTGAAACAGAATTTATCTTCGCGAATTTTATAATGTCACAAAGAATCTTCATCCTCCAAAAAAGCAGGTAATTTACTTGATGCCAAGAAAATGAATAGAGAAATGAGAAATAAATCAGAACCACAGTGGAACTAAAAAAAAAAAAAAAAAAAAAATCAGAAATTCAGCAACAACAGCAAATTGTACCAACAGCAGATCTCTAAATCTTGAGCTCAAACAAAGCAGGTAATTAAAAATAAATAGTATGTCAGAATGAGGCTTATAAGCCTAAAAAAACCCTACTACAGCTCCAGCTATGTGCTTGCTATCTTGGTAAATCAACTCCCAGATGACTGGGAGAGAGACTTTTGTTTCCTGTTTGTTGAGATGTTCAAACCTTGGAACTTTTTACCCAGGTTATCGCAGGAAGAGAAGAAATATAGAAACCCCATCAGAAAATAAAAGGCTATTCGGAATATTTTGCTCGTGAATAAAGGTTATTATCTCGCCAAACCCTCAATCACGAAAAAAGCCATGTATTTGGGTTAAAATTATTGAAACCTGTGAATGGAAAGAGCAAGTCTACTGTAGAAGAGCCTGCTGCCCAGTTAGATATAACAAAAACAAAAAAGTCTGCTCGAGATGTGCCTTTGGAGTGCTGTATTTAGAATTGTAAAGGCAGTGCTTCAGGTGAAGAAGAAACGAGGAAGGATGCATCCCAGGAGACGTACGCACATAGGAAAGGTTTTTCCGCCCTGGAGGGAGCTGGCTACAGATGCTAAGGGTCAATTTTTTTCCTTCAGGTAAATGGAGTCACGTTTCAATGCATTCACAAAGGAAAGTTCCTAATTTCTTGCAAGTAGTTTGGAAAATATAAGGTAAAACCAGGGAAAAAGATGCACTTCCCAAGTACGTTGGGTAAATCTGGATCAAGCAGGAAAAAAACAATTGGTCCTGGATTTTTTTTTTTTTCTTCTCTTAAGTCAAAAAGGATGAAACAAACAAAATAACCTACCACATCATTACTATCATTTTTACAAGGTGTGGTGCTTCCACTGCTCGGGGTGGCTGCAGCCACCAGCTTGCCCTCCGCCAGCGGTGTTTTGCCAGCACAGACCTTCCAAGAGGGTCGGGACCATCCAGGCACGCTGGCTTCTCCACCATCGCAGGATTCAGAAGGCAGAACGTCTTCTGTAACTCCTGCAGAGCTCGCGGGAGAAGGGCTGGTCTTCTGGCTAATTATGTATTGTAAAGACTCGTGTAACAGAGGCAGGTCCAAACTTCTGCCCCACAGCCTGCTGATGTGTGGGAGAGGTTGAGACGCCGAGCGTTCCGGGAGGTGGCTACCTGGGGAGCGAGCGTTTTCAACGGGCATCAAGACTTCTGACGTGATTTGATCTTGGCCAGGCTGACATAAACAGGCTAGGCACGCCTGACGAGGCTGTTGAGGAACCACCATCAGCTCCGTCGGGCGTGCAGAGGTCCCCAACGCCACCAGAGACGACGCGCCCGCTGCCTCTTCTCTCACCTGCCGATATGTGGTTTCCTCTCCCGGTCCTTGGGGAAGGGACGTTGCAATTGTAGGCAAAGTCACGACAGGGTCACTGTGGCGGCGAAGAGCCGCACAAGCACTGCCGGCCGCGCGTGATGGGTGCAGGCTGGAACCGGAACACGGGGCTGCCACCACTTCTGAAGGACACAACGCGCTCGTGTCGTGCCTCTCACTGGAAGCACCTGAAGATTTATATTCACTTGCATGTGTTTGTTCTTGCACCAGTAGTTCCATTAATTGCTTTTGGTCAAGGTCACAACAACACGAAAACGGGAGCAAGCGTGAACGTCTGACTGGGCTACCAGTGCCAGATTTTGGAGCCTCGGCAACGGACGTGCGTCGCCGCCTCTGTGCGAGACCGAATCCAAACTCGGAGCCAGAAAGGCAGCGACGGGATGCACGACCTTTGTCACAACTGGAAGAAACATCAGGCCCAAGAGGCTCTTGAACAACCGAAGGAACAATAACGTGTGGCTATATTGACAGTGGGAAAAAACCAAACAAGACCGTTCTCAAACACGTCAATGAGTTCAAAACTAACAACTGCAAAGCTACTAACGGAGTTGAATGACAACAGATTGATAAGAAGCTTTTTTACTGAAAGTGAAGCATTTCTTCAGAACGGCAAAGCTAGCTAGCCAGACACCATCTACTAAGGGCACGTTTCAGACCAACCCGAAACGCATCGCTAAGCAAGTCACCATCGGCAGAGCTGCGTGAGGAATACACGAAGGAAGCCCTGGAACCCACACCTTCTGAAAACAAGAGTATAAATGAGCCATCAAGCATTATCTAGGACACACAACGATTTTGAAAAGCTTTAGACTTACTCCTGAGGGCTGCTGGTAGTGCCCCAGCTGCTGAAGGCCATGGGGCACAGCCTGGCTCTCGCTCAGGGGTGGGCTATACACGCGTTGGATAGCAGGAGGTACGGGATCAGGCAGAGATGAGTAGATGACACTTTGCTGGCTGCTTTGGGAGTCTGAATAAACAGTGGACCCCTGGCCACTGTCGAATGTGCTGTCAGCTGAAAGAATAATATTTTTCATTAAAAGCTCAACAACTCCAAACGTTCAAGTAATGATTTTTAGAGCAAGGTCAACACTGGTTTACGTAATTAGCATTTTTACTACCCTAGCCCTTTCTGTTATATAAATAAATTATACAACACAAATGTTATTTTCTACAAAAGGCACATACTGCTTTCTCTTAAGCCAAAAGCCATCCCCATGGATTTCTGTGCGCGACGATATTTTAGGCACATTGATATTTCCTTTAAAGGGCACAAGGTTGACATTAAGAATTGCAGACGTTTATAGATTTTGTAGGATGAAAGGAAAGAAAACCCCAATTGTAATGTTCACAGAACATCACGGAGGCTTTTAGAGTTAGATCTCCCAGGGAGGCGCTGACTTTAAGACCCCTTTTTATTAGCAGCACTGAAAATCACAAAACTATTTATACTGTATGCTTGAATAGTTCAGCAAATCATACCTGACTTGAGTATATAGCAATACTTCAAGACAACGGACAACAAAATAATTTGCAGGCTTGCAGTGATTTAGGAGCACCATTGAGAGCTCTGCCAGAGTGTCTGCCCAGTCAACCCGCAGAATTGCACAGCTATGGGTACTGGGCAATGGCATCTTTTCTCACAGGGAAATAAATCTGTTAACTGTACCATTGAGTATTACCGATTTAAAAATGTCTTTTCATGACTTTTGAAGCCTATAAAGTACAGATGCCCAGTTCTTCTTGAGCATAAGCTACTGTTTTTGTCATTGGAGAAATGAAATGAGACAATGAAGACTGTAGCTCTAAGTATCCAAAAGACAAATAGCTTGTAACAGAGATTTAAAACTCAAAACTGAAAGAAAACTGTAACACGGTTACAAAAAAATGGCTTAAATTACAGCTAAATTTAAATACTATTTCTTTTTCCAGCACTCTCCATCTTCCTTTTTTTCCTGTATTCCAAATAAGGTTTCACTTATTTGGCTTCTAGATAACAAATTATTTTTTAATAGCACCAGAGATTACATTTCTCCTCAGCACTCACAAACTGTTCTCCCAACTGTTTTTTTGAAAAATTGAACTCCCCTCTATATTTATTCAGCTCATTTCTGAAGAGAGTCAACATGGCCCAACTCTAAGAAGGCTGGAATTTCTGCCGCATATACACTTCCATTTTATTACAAACAATTATTTAAGACCTCAAGGGGAAAGAAAAAAAGAAAAAAAAAAGAGAGTATGATGGCAGAGTACTGAAGTAAAAGCTATGAGCTAGTCTCAGATTTTTATGGAACAACACGCATTACAGACATTAAGTTATTAGTTTACATTTTTACATTTGACCTCAGGTTATTACATTAATTGGTAGAATAGTAATTTATAGAGGTCTTAGGTCTAACATCACTAAGAAAATGTTCAAAGACATCCAATAGTGAATTGTTAAATAATACCAAGTATCGGTTAAAAGTCGAGGAGTAGGAAAAAACAGAAACCCTCCCGTTTATTTATAAAATTCTGCCAACTCATGTCCAACAGAACCATGGGAAGCACAGGCAGCCTCATCGTACCATTGGAAACAAAGAGAGGCCTAATTACAGCGTTTCTCAAAGGAATTAGATAACATGAAATAAGTATGTGATCCAAAAAATCAAGTGAGATCAATTTAGCTTCAGAAAAAAAAGCTTTGTAAATACTGCAATATACTGACTGCTATGCAAATACAGCTATTTCTTATTATCTGGTAAAGATTTGTTTTCTTGTAGAGGCATGCTTGGTTATTTTAGTACTCAAAGTAGACCTGTGTATAGCAATTTATACAATACCTGAATTAAAGCAGCAGCTGTCTCTTTGCTAAAGATAATGCATCTTTAATTTAAATATGTTTACATAAAAGTCCAGAACAGTAAAACACAAATGTTATGATAATAGTTTAGTATCAAAGTATGTACATCAGATTTTATCAGAAAAAATGGCTAGGAAAAAAAAAACCTCTCATAAAATTTCAACTCTTCCAGGCTAAAAATATCTGGCAACATTTCCTTCAAGACTTTTTAAAAATATAAATAGATTTAGTTCAATACCAGAACTTGACTCGGTAACAAAGGTTGGTTTTAGGGGACGGAGACAGGGACACGTCCCTTTAGGGCAATAAAAGCACTACTTTCTCACGCCTTGCTGTTTGCCGGGGATGAGTCTGATGCTCAGAAATAAAACGAGGAAACAACAAGCTGTGCAAGTAAAGCCAGGCAGTTTCTTATTGAGAAACAGACCAAAATCAGTGCTTGGAATTAAACCAGGAGATGTAAAGCCACCTGTCTGGAAATAGCCCAGCGATCACTCTTGAATCAGCCCCCAACCAAATGTAAAGAGCTGGCAGACCATTGGCTTGTAGCTACCAGGGCCTGGAGGAAGGAGAGCACCCACCTCACCTTTTGGTCATAACAAAGACCAAACCACCCCCCGTGCTTCAAGGCCACGAGCTCAGGAGGAAACAGAGCCTGGAGGAACAGGGAGAGCACCAGCAGCATGACCCCAGGACTCCAATAATAACTACAGCATCAACCCACAACGTCTGGTGCTCCCATCACACGTGAACAAACCACAGTTAATATTTCCCACAAAACAGGGACATCTTAAAAAACATCACGTAACAGGGAGGTTTCTTTTCTCCTGCTGTAGACCTTTGCACAGCTTCACAGAAACCTTCATGCAAGCCATCAAGAGTAACACGCAAAACACAAGAGACTGCAGCGCTTTGGTTTCAGCAAGGTCTGCTTTGGAACAAACCTCTCCACATTGCCAACATCATTTGAACAAGCCACCAGTTGCTCTGACCAGTTTGGTGCCAGTTCAACTTCTGCAGGCTCCGAAACCGTGTTTTGCACAAACTCAGTGTTGATCCCACCACCTGGCACAGAAAATACGTATTTTTTTCTGTCTAGCAGCACATCTCCTTGCTTTTCCATTTACAAAGAGATTGTCTTTCCTGCATTGATTGCTACCGAAGGAGGAGCTATCTCTATATCATCTAGTTTTCTTGAAGCATCTTTTCTTTCAAAATTGTTGTGCATCTGTCCGAGACACTCGTGTTGTTTGAGCTACTGTGCAAAAACACGTGCAGCAGCTCATCTCGCCGCTGAGCTCAGATTATTGCTGGTTTCTACCCTTGGACGTTCCTCGCCGCGCGCACAAAACCAACGCCAGACTTACATGCAACGGACGTGGCGCTGGTGGGCAGGTTTTGCTGGAAGGGATGCTGGTCTGCCTCGGGCTCCTCTGACTCCGACAGGACATGGTGACCGGTGTGAGAAAGGTAGGTGACCTGGACCTGCTGCGCATGCGGCGTCTTCAACTTCTCCAGACATTCAGAGTCCCGACGTTCCTCCGACTGCATCCTAGGCCAAATCCTCTCTCTCCTCCATAGTATTAACGCTACTCTGTCCCGTATTGACTTTGCGACTATCTTGAGATCGTTTTCATGAAAAAATCCAGAGTCAATCTACAGAGGAGGCACAAACTTAGCAAGATTATGTGCACACGGATGTGCGTGCACACACACGTATTACTCAAATCTCTTCCTAACAGAAAACACCAGTTTGAAACAACATGAACAATATTTATATCTGAACAGGAACTGAAGAGTTTAATGGTTTGGGGTTTTTTTTGAATAAAACTTCTATCCCTAATGCATTTTAAAACAACAATATGTCATCTGTAATGGAGAAGAGAAGGCTCCAGGGAGACCTTCTAGCAGCCTTCCAATACTTAAAGGGGCTACAAGAAAGCTGGAGAGGGACTTTTGACAAGGGTGTGTAGTGATAGGACAAGGGGCAATGGCTTTAAACTGAAAGAGGGGAGATTTAGGTTAGCTAAGGGAAGAAATTCTTCCATCTGAGGGTGGTGAGGCACTAGAACAGGTTGTCCAGTGAAGTTGTGGCTGCCCCATCCCTGGAAGTGTTCAAGGCCAGGTTGGATGAGGCTTTGGGCAACCTGGTGTAGTGGAGGGTGTCCCTGCCCATGGCAGGGGGGTTGGAACTGGATGGTCTTTAAGGTCCCTTCCAACCCAAACCATTCTATGATTCTGTAATTTCTAAGACACAAATATGTATTGAGCCAATTTATTCACCAGTTAACATCCATTGAGAAGAGGAGAGCAACTTTAACTACAGATGGCTTCTGTATTTTTTTGTGGGGGGAAAACTAAGAGAATAGTCAAAAGAGGAAGAAAAACATATTTGAAAAATGCTCTTTGAACAATGCAACTGGAGTAGATCATACTGTCCCTAACTCAGAACTTATTGCCTTAAACTTTCCAGTACACAGTTTCCCAAATTGCTGTGCTTGATATCACAGCAAGTCACAAAGGAAAAGATGTTAACAGAATTTTGTCTCAATTAACTTCTCTGAAATGGCAAAGTCATCATTGATGGACTTTTATAAAGAAAAAAATCTATCACTGAGTCAAACATGGACTGTTCACATTTGACTGAGAAGAGGACCAGGCTTTCTCAAAACTCAGCTGCTCGACCGATAAAATGGAAATTCGTCTTTATGCTATTTGTTTGCATAATCTCCTACGGCGTAGAGTAGGAATTTTAGTTTAATAATGACCTACCAGAGATTTGTCTGCTCTCCCTACATTCTTAACATGCATATTCTACAGATTTGGAAGCACTTATATACATGCAAGGAATGTAGAGGTTTTCGCTCGTTGCTCTTGCTCAAACATGAGACAGTTTTACAGTTTAGATTTTCACTGTTTAAAATCAGTAGGTGTGAGGTAGCTTAAAATACAGCTGCAGATGGATAACAGTATTTTCCACTGCCTGTGCCCTTGGACCTTGCTAACATTCCTGAACCGATGATCCAGCAAACGCTAACAACAGAAGGGAGCTACCCAAGAGAATCACAGAATCATACAATGGTTAGGGCTGGAAGGGACCTTCAAAGGTCATCTAGTCCAACCCCCCTGCAAGAAACAGGGATATCTCCAACGAGATCAGGTTGCTCAGGGCCTCGTCCAACCTGGCCTTGAACGTCTCCAGGGATGGAGCATCCACCACCTCTCTGGGCAACCTGTTCCAGTGTTCTACAACGCTCATGGTAAAAAATTTTTTCCTAATATCCAACCTGAACCTACCTCCCTCTGTTTTAAAACCATTACCCCTTGTCCTATCACAACAGGCCCTCCTGAACAGACTCTCCCCATCTTTCTTGTAGGCCCCCTTGAGGTACTGGAAGACCGCTATAAGGTCACCCCGGAGCCTCCTCTTCTCCAGGCTGAACAGCCCCAACTCTTTCAGCCTGTCCTCATAGGAAAGGTGCTCCAGTCCTCTTATCATCTTCGTGGCCCTCCTCTGGACCCTCTCCAACTGGTCCATGTCCTTCTTATGTTGGGGGCTCCAGAACTGGACACAGTACTCCAGGTGAGGTCTCACGAGGAACCACCATGCAGGTCCAGAGAACCTTGCGTGGTATTAACTAACATGCCCAGTAGATTCTCCATGACAAAGCTGAACGGGAAGGCACTGAAAAACCTGCCACATGAACAATTTTTCTAAAACAATTCTTATTCTTACATCTCTATATAGAGAACGGTTGACATTTAACGAAGACGTGCTATTTTACACTACCCTCTGGTTGTGAAAGGTAAATTCAGGTTTCAGACCCACCAGAACATTTCACGTTCCTTTTGCCCACATCGTTTGGACAGGCTGGAACGCCTGACTACCGAAAAACCCATCAACTATCATAAATAATTCCCCGTACTCAAAAGGTCTCCTGCATTCTTCTCTCCCACATCACGTAATGCAACACAAATTGATGAAAGCACATGGCTTTGGTGTTCCACAACTCATAAGGGCTAGAAAAAGACACGAAGGGATAAACATCCCCCTTTTCCCGCGCCCACAACGGCCTCAAGTTTGAAAACATTTCATATGCAGGCACTAAGGTAACTGTTAACGTAACAGTAAAACACAGGTTTTAAATATTTTTTGGGAAAGGGTATAGTACCACAGTAGTTTGGGAGTGATTCTTTCAAATATTCTTTTTACAAGAATTATTTCCTCTTCCTCCCATCACAACTATGGGCCAAGCAACCCACAGAACTTCAACATTCCTAACATTTCCAGAAATATTTAAATGCAAAATATAATGGCAAATAACTATACCAGGGCAAATTTTAAATTAAATGAGTTCTGTAACAATACGTTGCTCGAAAAACATTGAACCTACTGCAAACCAACAACAGAGAAGCCCAAATTTTGTGGGAGAAATTCAGAGTACGTGGCGATGTGTCCAAGCACACTAAGGCCACGTTACCAAACCGAGTGCCTCCTAAGCAGAACAGGAGTGGTGATGACAACATCATTAAATGGGATCCCTTGGGATTTAGATTATAATAGGAATGTTTCTGCAGGCACAAAAAATTGGACCCTTGACTCAGTGCTTACTGATTCTATGTCTCCATGACATTAGAAAAACTAAACAAGTGCAGTAAAGACATCTTTAAAATACAAACTCAAGGACTATATAGTGAGGCTGGAACACAAGATAAGTTTTTCCTAACAAAACCCTGCAAGTTATGAAGACACCAATTTAAATTCACCAAGTTAAACCCATCTATTAAAAAATTCAAAGCTTATTCCTAACTCTGTGCAGTGGGCTTGAATCTAGTCTCCTATTTCTGTCTAGTGATTAAGAGTGGCTGAGCACGGACTTTCCTCACCTACACTCGTCCTAAGTAACACCGGCAGAAAAGACAGAAGAATGTTTTGAACAATTCAGTGCAGAATATTTTGCGACTGACCTTGTGAACTCTTCTAATTTATTTCAAGCCGGTGTCTGAAACTAAACCGATTCCAAACAAATGTAAAGACATTCAACAGCTAACAGAAATTGGCAAAAGAGTTTTCAAAATATAAAAGCAGAAGACGTCTCTGTGGTCCCCCTAAGCTATTTGAAATGTCGTTTCATGCATCTGTTTTCATACTTGGTAAACAATATTTTTCAGCTGTTAGTGTTTCCCCGTTTACCCCTTTCTTGCAGCATTCATTCTAAAATCAATGCAAACTGCTCAAACTAGGCACTTGGAATGGTTTAAGTGGAAGTTACTTTACCAGACTTGTTCCTGCTGTCCTTTGAGATTTATGCACTACTTTATATATACACATTTTTGTCAGGAGAAGTTTATTTTACCATTTCTTGTGCAACATCATCAGGAGTTTCCTTCTCCAGATCAAAAGTAAACTCAATGGCTCCATTATCTTTGGGTTTTCCTTTCAGTTTCTTAGGATCTTCTACCCAGAGTCTTAAGGCAATAGAGGATTTCCTACCATGGTCTTCTTCTGCAAGTTCCACTCTTACCCCAGTATCTTCAGCAAAAAAGGCATGGCTTAATAAATCTTTAATTTCATATCTGCAATAGATAAAAAGAATATTCAAATACTGCAAGTCTTAAGCAATTTCAAAGAGGTTTATGACAAGAAAATGCTGTTAAAGGCAAAACCATTACCATTACCATGGATGGTGTTCATCCATAACAAATCTTTCTTCTTAGCAAAAAGGCGTAGTATTTCCAGGGTTACTGTAGACTCCCAAAAAAATGACGTTTCCTATTTTATAAAGCTTCAGCAATATTCATACACCACAAGCATGTACAGAGACACAGATGATAGCTTTGCTCAACTTTTCTTGAGTAAACTAAAGAGGTTCCCTCTAGGTAGTCAGTTAAGATCCCTAAAAACCGTATTTGTGAAACTTATGAAATACTTAACAGTAGACACACTCATCTAGGAGAGGCCAGTATATCGGGTTTTAAAAGTCAAGTTGGAAACAAAGCACAATTTCTCTCCATATCCAGAGGCGAATGAGTCAATGGAATCTACTACAACAGCTTGTGGTCAATCAACCATGTCGCGTTCGTGGTGGACCTTCGCCACACTCGATGCTCCACGCAGAACCTCCTGAGCGAGGTTCTACGGACAGCTATGGCAGAACATGCTAGAACACGCTAGCTCACGTGTCCACAACGGTGCCTTCTGACCTTATTCTTTGAAGCTGAGAGGTTGAGAGACACATCAACAGCACTTATTCTATTATCCTGACGTTATGTGGCAGGAAAGCAGGCATTTACATTTGTATTTCCATTCTGCCTGTTCTCCTGCACAAGGGAGACCCAGAGGCCAGAACAAAAATATCTACAGACAGCTTTGAAATCTCTTAATGCACATTATTTAATACAAAGCTTGATTACTTGAAACACACCTTTCTTCTTTATTTTTGCAAATGCACTCTCCAATTATCTCCTTAATTTCAGGATCAGTAACTTTCTCAAAACTTGCTGGCTTTATACCCTAAAAGGATAGAGAAAAACAATTTAGTTTGAAAAAGGATTACATTATATCTCTTAAGGACATTTTTTTAATACATTTTAAAGTCAACTCAACCCTTGGAGTAACTAATACTTTAAAGTTGTTAGTCTTAATTTAGAACTGAATTGAAGATTTAGGGCTCCTATGTTTCTGAGTACCATCGCACTTCAAAAGAAGCAGGCTAGTTTGTCTCAAACTCAGCCATACACAGAGCAAATCTCTCCTTTCCTTTACTAACCTTTGCAAACCTCATCCTTCTACCCTGGGGACTCTGAAGTCAATATTCAAGAAACAGCCAATTTTAAATCGTCAAAATAACTCTTTTCTGAAGTTATCCCTTTCATGCATTTTGCCTTGACTCTCGAAACATTAAATGAATAAAGACAAATAATCAGGTTTTTTTTTTCAGTCAGTTTCAATAATGAGTCAACAATACCTCAGAAGACTCGCACGATATTCCATATTCCTGTTTCACACAAATCCTTTGCTTTTCTGTGTCTTCACTCTCCCACACCTCCATCCTCCCCAAAAAAGCCCCAAATGAACCCCCAGACCAAGCAGGGGAGCAGGAGATACAAGCCCAACAGCTCTATGTTGCTCTTGCACTTCCCCAGTGCATTGCTCGAACCTTATTGGCACCGAGTGGCAGAGCAGGTGTAACTTATAACAAGTTAAATTTCTGTTAAATGTGAACGTTTTTGCTGGGAATAGCATTCGGTTCGAGATTTGGAACAGCTAACTTGTGAGCGTGGCCTTTCAAGGAAAAAACCCAACTGTTTATTTTAGAGGAAAACTGAGAGCAGCAGAGCCCGCGCTTCCCCGCACCGGGAGCTCTGATCAATGGAGGTGCAACAGGAATAGTTTGTATTTCTTTTGGGTCAGGTGGGGTTGTTTTAAGAAGATGGAGAGGATTTAAAAGAAACACACACACTTCTAGAGCAGCCATAGGTCATCTCTCCCAATTTTCTAGCACTTCAGGACCGAGATCTCAACTCAGCAAGATCCTCCTCAAGGTATATGGGTCCTTCATTGAAATAACATATCTCACCAACAGAAAGAGAGACTGGAGGAGGAGGACTATGCCAGCTCTCAGGCTAAATAACCGTTTCTATATTATGTCATCTTTCTGTACATGTCATCAAAACACACTAGAGCAACAATTACCGGGAACCCCCGCGCAGCCAAGGCACGCGTGCAGCTGTGCATTTTCAAAGCCTGGGCTGACAATTTCTTCTGATGCCAGGTTGCAGATAGGGAGGAAGGGATGTTCTGGGAGGAAGATCCATTTCCAGCGAGGCCACCCTACCGTGCTCCTTGTCAAACAGCATAGGAGCAACTAACAGATACCCAACATCTGTAATGCTGGCAACTCATTCCCATTCAGTTCGAGAGAAGATTTCCTGTGAATGCTTTTCATGTATATATTTGGCTACAGATGATGAGAGCAGCACCACGAGAAGTTATCTTTTTTATTTGTGATGTTCAGCTTAAATCACTAAAAAACTGATCTAGTGGAAGATGTCCCAGCCCATGGCAGGGGGTTGCTACTAGATGATCTTTAAGATCCCCTCCAACCCAAACCATTCTGTGATTCCATTTTAAAAGCATGTAACATCTCTGCCTACTAAAACAAGATGTATATGGATGAAAACTTGACAAAATTAATTTGGGAACAGATTCTGCAGTTAGACCCTATTACTTAAGGACCCAAGTATTTCCAATGAAGTTGATAGGCAGAATAAAAAGGAAACATTACTTCCTTTATCTAAAAAAACCCAGCATTTGATTAAGCACATAAGTGAATGGGACTTGGACATTAAACTCCATTCAAATCCTTTTAAAGTTTCACCCTGAAAGAAGAGTAAATAATGGATCATGCAGCGGCAGATAAGGAGGCCTTAAGTGGGGATTTTTGGCTCACCTGACACTGCCTTGGATGAAAAAAAAAAAGAAAATATGTATTGCAGAAAGTGTCTGCAAGTACTTCACCGAATTTAGTCTTGAATAAATTTTATGGATGAATTTCAATAAGGGCTGGCACCTCTCCGAGAATTTTTGAATATTCCAGCATCAGATTATACTTCTACCCTCTATTAACATTCTGTTGCCATTCGTGTCTCAGATTTGACTATAAACTTAGATTTGTTCATTTATTTCAGGTCATCCACTCCATTTCCGTCTTAAAACTCGAGTGAAATATGTAATCCATAGATTTTGGAAATAAAAATAACGGAATAGTCATACAAAGACTCAGCTTCCCCATTTTGCCAAGGCAGAGAGCTGCTGAGATCCAAAAAAACCATTCTTGTGGGAACAAAACAAAATAATCCGTACACGCGGCCGGCTGGCTGTGACCCACTAAAAAGAATTATTCGCTTAAGCAAACCTAAATCTTACTTACGAGATGAGGGTTCGAATTTTGTATATTAGAAAAATATCAAAATGGTAGGGGGTGTCTAGCCTTACCAAAGCCCAAAACAAGCAAAACCACACCACAGTGTGTCAAGAGTGTTTCTGGAGAGAGCTCCAATACCTGAATTAGAAATGAAAGGAAAGAAAGAAGTACCAAAAGAGAGTTTTAGCATGAATTCTCTACGCCCTAATACGCCCTAAAGCTACAGGAGCTCATTGTGCTCTCACATGGGGAGGAGTTTGACGAAATCTTCGGTAATTCACACTGGAAAGCAACAGGACAAAAATCTCTACGTTTTCGAAAGCTCCAGTTTGCTACAGGAAACCATTGATTTCCATCTTAGGGACACCTCTCAGGAAGAATGAGTATTAAAGACCATCATCTGCTACACATTCATGTTTACGGAAAAATATCCCACAAACATGCACTGGTATAAATTTAACTGTGGGGAAAAAACGAAACAAAAAACCCAACAAAGCAGTAGAAGCAACTTTAACCATACTACCTGAAGAGCTTTCAACTACCTAGAGGAAGACATTGCTCACATAACTACGCTCTCAAGTGAACCTGCTAATTGCTTTTTATAATTGCAGAGCCCTTCACGGGTGTCTTAACACAACCTGAACATACGAGAGAAACAAATAGCATAAGGCACATCACAGTATCTCTCAATTTAATTTTCTTCTCCAGAATTCACAAACAGTCTTCAGTTACATGGTTCCACTGAACTTTGACATGACTGGGATGGAGCAGGGCAGGTCATGTTGGGCACCTAGAAATTAGGTGTGCCTGAAAACGGTCCTTTTGACAGATCCCAGGTGACTGACCCCAATTTTTGACCTTATAAAACTGCTTCCACACAAAAAAATAGCAACCCCTCCAAACATCATTTTACTTCTAACGTCTTTTGAAAGAGCACTGACTCCTCTCCGATCATCTATTGTATTAACCTACTGAACAGTTCAGCTATGAATAGATGACTAAAACAAACAAGGACAAAACATGCCCAGTGAAGTACTGAACCGAACTGCTTTGCCAAAGTGTTTCCTCAATGCCCATATGCTATAGTATGCTCTTGCTCCTCACTCTTCATTAAAATCTCCAAGGATGTCTCATTTGTAATGCCGCGAGCCCTCCCCACAGCACTGTGCCCTGATGCCTACCAGCCCCCTGACAACGAAGGGGGTTATGTGAAAGGCAGGTTCCTCTTTGCAATCAAAGGACTCATTCATTTATACAAGAGCCATCTGTCTTTCCTGAGCATTCCCAAGGAAATATGGCACCAAAATTCAAAATATATTAGCTCAGGAATTATCCATGGCAGTTTGAGAACTGTACAGCTGTCTTGTAAACAAAAGTAAATTCAGCACCCCTTGATCTGACATGCAGGGCTAACTGGTTGACACGAGGTACGTAGGGATATTTTCACACAAATTCTTAAAATGCTAAAAAAAAATAATAAAGAAAAAATCCAAGAGCAAAACAAGATAAGGGCAAATAACGTCCCCTTTGAGAATTTCCCTGTCTCAGATGGGATGACCAACTTTGAATCTTTCATCAGCACTTATATTGCAGTGCAGTGTATTTCAAATCTAAGACATTTGAGTGTAGAGTCAGTCACATGTAAGACATTGAAGGTTTAACATTTATGTTGGGGGCAAAAACACGAAGCTTGTTTTTCAGAGGTCTAAAACTAGCTGATGACATTCTTCCACCCGCAGAGCACACTTTTGAAAGAGCAACACGTAAAGCTTCATAAGGCACAGCGTACACCAGACAAGTCAACGTTAACTCTGACCCATGTCAGTCCGTGGTTTTTCTAAAGGCTTTCCTTACACCTAGGAGGTGCCTTCCTAGTCTAGATATAGCCTACTTTGGACTAAAACTCCACCTTCTGCCCAAAGGTAGTCTCTAGACTCATGTAGTTCCTACAAAAGGAAAAAACCCCTTCCTCAAAAAAGCTGAAACCGTGTTTTCAGCTGAAATTGCACCCTACCATACACTCTCTAAAGTCAATACAGCGAAGTTCTAAATTTTGTCAGGATTTTGTTCCATAATATTCAACAGCAAGATCGCTGTGTGCGATTATAAATTCATCTCCATTTCAACTCAAAATGGTTCTCAATCCTAATGCTAATCTAAGCAGATTCTCTGCAAATCTAAGATAACCAAAACACAAAAAGTCAATGCAATGACATTCATAATGTTAGTCGTCTGTTGCTGTGCTACAGCTGTAGCATCTATTCTATCTGTAGGAGCAATATAGACTATAGCTTGTGAATGCCAAGAAAACATTCAATACATTTATAAAAAAAAACAATATGAAAACTTAAAATGCGAACCAGAACACTATAAACATGTGGGTTGTTTTAAAGCACAGATTTGTTCTGCTAAACCCAAGGAGGTCACCATGAAGCCCCGAAGATACAGTTGGGCTGCTGTGCACTCTGCAGTGCATCCATAAGAAAACATTGGACTGGAGCTGCATGGGAAGGTCACGGACTCCAGTGTTTCATCACTAAATATGCCTATTGTCTACATCAAAATCACTTGGCAGAATGATTAAACACAAAAAAAAATCTGAGTAAGAAAAACCATCAAGTTATGCATGAAAAATGAGATTATGGCATCAGAATGAAGGTCACTGCAAATATGCTGACCAGGAAATCACTTCAAAGTCAACTGCAGCAAATGTGGCTTGGAAAAAAACGTATTTTCTATTTAGGTTACATATCCACTTTTTGAACGTTTACACTCCAGAATTCAGGCTGAAAGGGCAGAGAGAGGGAGGGGACAAGTCGTAACAAGCACGTCTCATCTGGCAAAAAAATGAGCCCTTCTGTACGTTCAAGAAACAACTGCCACTTCATCCTGGACCACCATACACACACGTAAAAACAAGAGCGGAAAACTAAAGCAGCAATTAAGCCATGAGAGGATGGTCAGGCAGAGCAAAAGGCCATTGAAACAAATAAGTACAATAATTTTACACCAAAGACATGTAAAATGTGTAATATCTTAAAGCAAAACAGTAATGTCTCAGGCAATGTTTCCATTTTCTGTACCAACAAGGACTATTGGTGCACATGACTTGAACAGCTATGACTTCAGATTAGATTATCTCACGTCCTGTTAGCTGGCAAGAGTTTGGTAGCGTGTTAGGACAGAGTAGAAACAACCGAAAAAGATACTAAAATGGCAAAACCAAAGGAATACACTGAGTGTGCTGGGGAGCAGAGGGAACCTGCAGCCCATGGTGATCCAAAGCCTCCAAAGCCAGAGGCAGGCTAAAGAAGGAGGTGGCTATTGCACCTTCACCAGCAAGCAACCGCTTGCTTGGCGCAAACACTGGCAAACAACTCCGACCCCTTTAGATGCCATCGGCACCTCCAGTGATGGCCACCACGATGCTGAGCCCAAGGCAGGAAAAGAGAGTTATTTTATTTTATATTTTTTTAAAATAAAAGCATCAGGAAACTAGATAGCAATCACATTTTTACATTACACTGACCATTACATTAAAAGTCTAAAAATAGTGTTTACATTTCTGGTCCAAAAAAACAGTTTCATGAAAAATTAAGTAAATTTCTCACTGACAAGCTGAAATACATGAAAGCCTTCAGGAGCGCTGCACTATTGAGCTCCTGCATCTGAGAAGGTCAGGGTCACCCTCTGCTCGAGTGAGAACCCCAACCCTCATCTCACGCCGGGAAGCAAACAGCGCAATTCAGCCTCTTGGTGTCGGTCCACGCTCCAGTTCTACATCCTACTTCAGTCCAGTAAAAACCAACGCTAGCAACAGCTGCTGCACAACCAACCCTAACTCTTCATGGAAAGTGATTTTCGAGATTTTTGTCTAAGTCACCACCGTCCCAGCTAAAGTGACAGACCCAACCTTTCGGTGCCAGCTCAGGACCCCTCAAGCCCACACCCCACCCCTCCACAGCAGCTCCCCCGGCCACCACGGCACTGCCCGGGCCACTCACGCTGATGGAAGTGAGGTCCCTTGCTGTCGCCAGCTCTTCTGCAGATGCTGCTTCTCTAGAGAAGCTGTTGAGCCCAGGCAAGAGGTTCCTTCTGGGATCAAGGATCTCCCCAGGGTGCCCGAGGATCTCTCCAGGGCACCCGCTGCTTCTCTTGCACCCTCACCCCAGAGGTCCACCCCCTCCCCTGCTCCTCCTCTTCCCTGACAGTTCATGCAGCTCATGGCATTCGACAGGGCTTTTTTCCTCTGCACAGGGAGCTCGTTAACCCTTTCCTTGAAACGACGGTAGGGCTGATTTTTCCATCTGAGGAATCCCCGTCGGTGCCTTTGCTTCCACCCCTACTGTCCTGAAGTCAACTGAAGACAGAGAAAACACACCCTCCATGCCTGGACCTGACACTTTCCACCTCCACTTTCCCTGCTAGACAGCTGCTTCAAAAGTACCCCTTACTAGCAATGAAGTGACCTTTCACCACCTTCTCCACCATTACCTGTTCTTCCCAATATGCATTATTTTCCATCTCTAAAGTTGCTAGTATAAGACCAGTTTTACAAAGTTATTATAATTTACCATATAATCTTCAGCTATCTAAAGGTTATTGCCACAGAAAATCAGTTGGCCCAGGCTTTCATCAGTGTTCAAAAAAAAATGACTACTCAAGTCTGCAAATTGAAATCTAACATCTAATTAGGAATCCTCTGATTAATCATTATTCTTTGCCACCTTGGATATTGCTTTGATAAATGAGGCTTAGGAGTCTTCTGAAGCCTTAATTACCAACATTGCAGATGGCTAAGAGTTGTACGCAGAGCTCTCCGGGTAGGTGGAGCAACGGGAGACATCTGTATTATCTGTGGCTCTGAACACACGCACACGGACCCAGGTCGCTCACCGTGACGGCAGCTCCACAAGCAACCGAGCGCAGCAGCTCCCGCGCCCTCCACTCCTCGCGGAAGCTATCCAGTATCTGGGGCTACAAGACCAAGGGGGCACCTCGTATCACACTCAGGAGTCAAGGCCCCAACATCTAAAATTAGAAGAGACTCCTGTGGTCACCGTGTGAAGCATTAGAGCCTACGGAGATGTCTCCTAAGCCACCTACGGAGGTGGCATTTAGAGCACATCCAAAGGACTACATGCCTAAATGAAGCCAACAAGCCGTTGTGCCAAACGAAATAAACTTTTCCTTGTAGGGGAGGAGTGAGCAGAAGAACAATGTGATAAAGCACCGTGGAATAACAATGCAGAACAAGCAGTCATCCTCGTAAGGATTCAGGCCAGCAACTCCACTGAGCCATCAAATCTATTTCACTCCTTCGAGAAGACACAGCATGCGCTTCCAACCAGCCCGTGGTGCAGGGCGCCATGGCTTGCAGGCAATAAACCAGCAGACCCATCTCTGCACACGCCCCCTTCCTTCCAGCACCATAGGGAGCAGCTCCATCCGTAGCGATGAAGCTAACTGCACTGCTGAGCAGCTTCTGCTGCCTTTTTTTTTTCCCTAAAGAAGAGTTAATCTACCAGAAATCAGGGTTGCAGTCCATTGGGAAAGATGGAGCTTCACCAAGCTACAAACGCCAGCTTGCAACAGTTTACACAAAGATGAAATAAAGCTGCTTCCCCTCTTCACATGTGTCCTCCTGATTTCAGAAAGTCATGGTACCGTTTCCTGCATGGACATCCTCCTGTGTCTTGTGATGCTGACTTCAGCTTTTAAACACAGACTCCCAAATCGTTTGCATCCTCCCTCTCTCACCAGGTCAGCATCACCACAGCTGGCTGGCACAACCTACAACAGCAGCACCAACTTCCTGGCATCCCAGTCTTCAGTGGTGGAAAGACAGATATTGAACAACACAAACTATACCTACAAAAATTAAATTTTGCACGTAAACTCATCACCTGGCACATGCGAGTGTTTGGGTATCCGACAAAACCATCTCTATATCCAACATGAGAGATTGGCATCCAGCAAATCAGAAAATGCAATTTTGACCTCGAGGAGCGTTTGCCGACCGCAGGGTTTCACAGCATCATATTTGTCCTGGCCTGGTTTGCTAAACCTCTTGGAGAAGGCAAGTGCTCTCAAGTACCTTTCAAAATCAACCAGCTATCACTAGGTTTCATTTGGGAACATTTCTGCTCACAACAAGCAGTTGGACAAGAGGAACTCAAACTGATTTTGGGACCAAACTTTTGGAGAGCGAGATGGATCTGTTCAATAGATCAAGTACGCAAGCCTAACTACTCTTTCTACCCTATAAGTCAAAGAAATAAAAGCAACCTTATCTGTAGCTAATCTTTGCAAATTTCAGCGCGGCTTTCCTCAGAGCATCATCCTCTTCACATCCCGAGCGTGCAGACTGCAGCTTTTGGTGATGCACAGCGCCATAGCTCACAGCTCGCTATCTTTTTTCGTAGCAACCAGGTAGTACGAAGCACCTGGGAAAAATCTTTGACAAACCAGTCTCTGTTTAACATAATTTACCCCGAAAAAACACTCCTGCAACTCTTGGTTTGACTTCACCAAGCGGAACAGAAGATAACCACAGCTGCCAAAGCCTTTGGCGAGTCTCATTTCTCTGCGGTCGGTGATTTGCAACCCGAGCAGATCTTACAGACTCAGGAGTTTTTCCAGGCAGTACAGCCCGTGTAGACACATGCATTTATCATCCAGGGATGAGAGTGTTGCAGAGGGTGTTTTACTCAGTGTAGAGATTATTTCAGATTGGATTCTCCAGCCCAACCTCACCTCGAAATGCAGCAAACCCATTTCCATGGTTTCTTGTCTGGAGATGACCAGATCTTGCAGAGTTATGAAACGCAGATATAAAGCTCCTCTGGCTGACTCCAAAACCAAAACATTGCTATCTTTTCCCTTTTATATCTTCAGATAATTTGTTGCACATATGAACAGCAAGAATCCGTGCTGGAAATCTGAAACATCCTCCAACATATAAAGAAGTATTTAGGCTGCAACCTAAAAGTTAGTCCTTCTAGCTTGGTGGGAAACTCAATCAAGCCTGAAGAATCCCCATTTAGGAGGCCAGACTAGAGCGAGGATTTTTCCCTGCTCGTTCTTCCCAAATTTTATGTATTTTTGGCTGATGAAGACAAAAAACTACCAAAACCACGTTCTGCAGCTGCAGCGCAGTCAAACACTGCAAGCTCACAAATAAACCTGCAAGAGGTTTGTGTAACCCAGAGCTAAGACACCCCAGCTTCTGCAACACGCTACGCATTCGACAGTACTCACACCTCATCAAAATACATTTTTAAACTTTCAAATTACAAAATCTCAACACAAATTAAGAATGTTTACTCACACAGGTTACTTTCCGGTAAATTTGAGCAGCATTCTGGCATTCTGAGTAAGGGTATTCTGAGGTAGCCATTTCCAACATGCACATTCCAAAAGCATAGACATCCACAGATTCATCGTAGTGTTCCTCATACATTTCCGGGGCCATAAATTCTGGTGTACCTACACAGACACGCACAAAAACAACGTAAATTTTTGATCAGAGTCTAAATGGCTTTAACCACAATCTTTTTCACCTATAGAAGCGTGCCCGTTACAGCCGCGTAAGGGTGCACGTGAGACTATTTCAAAAGAAGTAACTAGAGTAAACTCGAGCATCTTCAAAGGAAGAAACCCAAAGTCAACACACACAATTACATACCCATGGCTCGCTGGTAATAACACAAGGGGGAAGAGGAAAGGGACAGAAAAAGTATCAAAATTTCAAAAATGAACAGGAGACAGACATGGCACATTGCCTGACCATACTAGAAGTCATAGAATCATAGAACAGTTTGGGTTGGAAGGGGCCTCAAAGATCATCTAGTTCCAACCCCCCTGCCATGGGCAGGGACACACTCCACTACACCAGGTTGCCCAAAGCCTCATCCAACCTGGCCTTGAACACCTCCAGGGATGGGGCAGCCACAACTTCTCTGGGCAACCTGTTCCAGTGCCTCACCACCCTCAATGTAAAGAATTTCTTTCTTATATCTAACCTAAATCTCCCCTCTTTCAGTTTAAATCCGTTGTCCCTTGTCGTGTCACTACACTCCCTTGTAAAAAGCCCCTCTCCAGCTTTCTTGTAGGCCCCCTTTAGGTACTGGAAAGCTGTTATAAGATCACCGCGGAGCCTTCTCTTCTCCAGGCTGAACTTTGGAGACACCTCCAAGCAGGGACAACCATCACCCTCCCTGTCACCCAGTTCCCCTTGCAGAGCACTGTACCTGTTACATAAAGTCATGGAACGGTTTCTTTTTCTGGGTGGAGAGAGGGATCTGCATGGGCTCATGGAGGTGAAAAGCAGAAAAGAGACAAGAACCTTCAACTCTTGTTTCCATCAATGCAAATTTGCATGTTTTTTTTTTCCTCCAGAGATACCTAGCAACCACCTGGCAGACAGACAGCACTTTGAAAGCGAGGAGTATCGCAAATCCCCGGCAAAGTCACGCACGACGCATCAAACACAATTCTGCCACTGGTTTCGTGGGACGCATCACTGAGGCCACTCGCAGAAGAAGGTCCCACTCAACAGGGATCAGGGTGTCAGAAATCTGAAGCAACCAGATAAACACTTAAGTGCAGCGCTGTACGTACTGCTTCGCCACGGGGAGCTGCGGCTTTGTGACGAGCAGCGACTTACAACGCCTGCAACGTCTGCACAAACTGCCCTGCAAAGCGTGGTCTTATAAAGCAAAAGGGAAAAAAAATTAACACTATTTATTCCAGGAGCTGTACCTCCTAACGTAATTTATGCTTCGGAGGCAAGACTAACTCATTTCCTTTTTACGCTTAGAAAAGATGAAGGAAGAGAGATGAACGCAGTCATGTGTTGTGGGAGAGGAATGGAGCCACGAACACCAGGATGCCAAAAGGTGCACGAGAGGTCTTGGACCATGTGAAGGACCCTGGACACATTCTGCCTCATCCAGTGCAGCAGCAGCCGTCTCAGCACCCAAACTGCCCTGCAGAGCCTGGAGACTCCTTATAGGACATGGAGCAGTTGGAGAGGGTCCAGAG